GGCCCATCGGAGCTGCAGCCCGGGCCAGATGGGGTGCCTCCAAAGGTGTTGGCCCTCGCAGTGGAACCCCTGGAAGAGCAGTTCCGGGCGGTTCTGAATACCACCATCAGCACGGACCGTTTCCCCAGGCGCTGGAAGGAGCACCTCCAGGCTCTGTCAGTTGTCTTCTGTGGGAAGGAGAGTCGGCCAGCCGATTCCACCTTGGGATATCGACCGATTGTGGTACTCAATATTGCCGCAAAATTCAACCTAGCACGCCGGATAGTCGAGCACCTCGAGGGCCTGAGGCCGAAACTTTTGCAATTTAAATATTTGTATGTAAATAACCACCCTATATATAATACCCTGAACGACGAGACGCTCGATGGAGGCTTCATCACGGCGAGATACGTGCCGAAGAAAGCTAGGATGCGAGCTTGGACAACAGAGGACAGCCGCTGCTTGATGCCGCGTTTTTGGAGAATGAAATGTTGGTTTGAAATTCGCTCCAGATATTCCAAGCATTCTTCTCCAGCACTACATTTCGAGAGCATTTCTACCCCTCGTCTCTCACTTTCGCGTAAAAATAATAATAATCATTTAGTTCAGATAATTATAATCTCTTATCTATTAGACAAGTCCGTCCGTCCGTCCGTCCGTCCGTGGTGCTGTTTCAGCGGCCAAACCGTAAGAGATAGATAAAGAGAATGTTTAAGTTATAAGTTGAGAATAGTCTGATAAGACTACAAACCGGATGTGAGTAACGTAGCACTTCCGGTTTTCGAGAAATCACGTGATTTCTATTTCAAACGAAACCACACAAAATCTCACGAAGTTCTCAATTTTTTTTTTTTTTTGGTGAACATTTGGTTCACTGGTTTGCTAGTAATATTATAATCCGTAATATTATAATAAGTAATATTATAATTAGTACCAGTTAGTAACAATCTCGGGCTTATCCTATGTTAGTATATTATTAAATCATTCTAAATTACCAAATTATCCGCCATATTGATTATATTCACAATTATAATATATTCTACATGTCAATTAAATTCAATTAACAATTAAAAGATTCAAATAAAAAAAATATATATCGGTACATTATTAGGAATATATAGGTACGACATTATTCATGGGTGTAAAGTATGTAGGTGCACCCAGCGCTTTAACATTGGACTGTCCCAACGTGCCGCCAAACATTAGCGGCACCAGGATGCCGTTGGAGCTGGCGCGTAGTAGCCCCAAGATGGACACTTTTTTCTCATTAGCTCGTAAAATCCATCTATCTGTGACTCTGCAAACATGTCTGAGGCACTACAAATGCGCGGCAGCCCCATCAGCACCCTGAATGCAATGTTGTACTGTACACGCAAGTCGCTGTATGGCCTCTGCGTATAGTCCACGCACAGGCCGCATATGAAAAAAAAGACTTTAACCACGGGTCTTAAACCTGATTTATAAATAGTGTGACTTTAACCTGATTAGTACAATGTGCGAATCTGCCTGCAGGCGATCATATTGTATCAGACAGCTGAATGACTTGCGTTCCCGATGAATGTTCAAATTGTCATTCAAATTCAACGTGATCCAGTGACCCAGCCAGGTATTTAAATTCCTCAACTCTGTTCAACGGTGACCCGTCAAGTGAAACATTTGGAACAATAGAATAAGTTTTATTGTCCGCCTTGAAAACCATTATCTCACTTTTCTTCGAGTTATACCTGAGTCCATGGCCCTTAACATATTTTTCACAAATACCCAAAAGACGCCTCAATGCACTGATCGAAAGGCTCAACAGCCTGTATGCATCAGAAAGCGAGTCTGCCCATCTCACTTGGTTTTTCTGATGATTGTACCAATACCCGAACAACCCAGAGATTTCATTTGGTAGGGTAGTAGCCTTAACCTATGCCAGGTTAAGGCGTAGCTTAAGACACAAAATGGCACTTTCAGTGGAAAGCCCAGAGCGAAAGCCGAAGTGAGCGTCATTTAATTGAATGTTTAAATCCAAGTGTGGGCCATGCAGAGCATCAAGCACTTTTGCAATTATAATAGCTAACGGGATCGGTCTGCAATTATTTAAATCTGTAAATAAACAGCAAAGTAGTAGAGTAGCCCAAACAAAGAGTATAAAACATAGAAAGTACTCTAGGCAAGTGAACGCCCACGTGCTGCAGATACTCAGCCAGTCGTGACCTGGGGATTTACCCCTTACCATATTTTTTATCACCTTGGTCACATCCCCAGCACTAAAGCGTACACCCCGCTCCGTGTAATGTTTAGAATCGAACAACCGCGGTGCGGACCTTAATGGAGAGTCAACATGCTGCCGAAAAATATTGGCGATGTCCCTAGACTGGTGCACACCAGCAACGCTCACAGGTAACCCCGGTCTATGATTAAGACGGTTTGTATTTTTCCAAAAAGCTTTAAAATTTTATTTGAATGGTATCCCGCAACAATATCCATTTTAATTTGTTGTTGGTTGGTGGTGCCAAAGTAACCACTTTGGTTTCATTTCGCTGTCTTTGACCCTTAAGCACTATTTCTTTTTAATGATTACGAAAGCAGTGCATGATTCATTCCTAAGCGCACCTTAGTTGAAAATTTCAGTCATAATTCACTGAACGTAAATTATTCACTTTAGATCAACATTTTCATAAAAGTAAAACTTATGAGGATTCAGTTGCTAAATAAAATTAGGAAAAAGTCGTTTGTCTTTCTTTAGAATTTTTTAAGTTGATCAGGTCTAAAATTCCCGAAAATTCAGAAAAATATTCATAACTCGAAAACTACAAAAAGTCGCGGATCATACATGGGTGATTCGGATACCCCACGATACGAGGGACCTAAATTTTTTTGACTTCAATGGCCACCCTGTGTTTTGAAAATACAATTCTACTTCACCACATGAACCGCCAATCTCGACCGATAGACGAGCGAGTGATAACGATCATTTCTGGAAACGCTTTGGAAACGTGACAATTTGCAGCTGGCCTCGTATTTGTGGTTTACCGACACTTGCCCCGTGCGGCCTCCGCTTTGTTGTCAGCCGCGCGTTAAACATGCACGCAACAGCTTTTAACCTGAAAGCTAATGCGCTTACCGCAGATTAGTGAAAGACTCGTAACAAAGCACATTTCAATTTAAGTTAATTTCATAATATTAATTAAAAGGTCACACCCCGCGGTTTCACCCGCGTTAATTCGAGAAAAAAGGTTATAGTGAGTGAACCCTAACCTTAGAAGTAATATGCTGTCCTGGCATGAAAATACTTGTTCCTCCGCTTGTTGTTGTGTTAATTAATGAATAATATTATGATAATTATGTATAGCTCGAAAGCGCAGTGTCAAAGTGGGAGTATTAAGTTTTCCTCGAAATTAAGCTGCTTTTAACATGATTTTATTTATTTTTTAAGCATTTAACTGCTAGATGTTTAAATCTAAAGAAAAGTCTGCTTTTAACATGTTTTCTTTATTTCTTTCTTTTGACGATGACCGGTCAAAGTATGCATGGGTGACCGGAAATTTCGGTTAGAAATTTTGCTAACACCTGCGTTCCGGCGAGGAATCGACTAACTATCGGCTATTTTCTCGTTCAAGAAACGTAAAATAGGTATACACTTCGTGTAAACAAAAGAGCTAAGCTATCCCTAAGCGAGTATTATCCTTGGTAGCTATTGACGCTCAGTGACAAACTAGTAGAGCGAGTTCTCGCCGGTAGTATGAAAAGTCTGCGATTAACTCTTTTGTTTACACAGCTATGTATATCTAATGTTCGTTTCTAGAGCGAGAAAATTATTGATGGATTGTCGCTTCTTCGTAGGCATGTTGAAAATATACCGATATTTTTTGTTCGATATATCGATATTTTTTGCCGATATATTTTGATTCGATTTATCGATACATAGATACAAAATAACCTATATCGAAATTCGTATCAAAAACGATATTTTTTTAATTATTAGCGGCTTACGATCTAACTAGAATCTGGATAAATTGTAACAGGATCTCTGGATCTGGATCTGGACTGGATGCTGTATTTAGTATTGTCTATTATTTGTAAATCTGTTTCGCTGGTGAATTAGTTGTGCTGATTTCCATTATATTCTGTGGAAGTGTGTGACTGTCTAGTCTTGTTTACGAAAGATGGCAGCTGAGAGGCCCTGCAATCATTTTAATCATTCGGAAATAGGGTCTATTTTTAGGGAGATAATTTTCGTTCCATTATTACTCCGCGTGTCATATTTCGTGAGATACTGTACTGTCATGTAGTGTAGCGGCAATTTGGTACTGTAATAATTCTTTCTTTAATTATAATTTGTATTGAACTGTTATTACTGTGCTTGGCTGACCTAAATATAATTTTGGGAAAATTGGTCCGATATATCGATATATCGATATTTTTTCCGAGATATATCGAAGCCGATATTGATATTTTTTTAAATATCGATGTATCGATATATCGATATTTTTTTCAACTTTCGACATCCCTACATCTTCGCCGACGGTGGGACAACTGCCCTTTCTAGCTCTAATCGCTACTCGCTTATCGTCGGCGGTGGCATAGGTGCCCTTACTAATGCGCTATCGAGCACTTCAGACGACACGGCCCCGGCTGTATCGGCAGTCATTAGCACTTCATTCACTGTAGCAAATAAATAAGTTAACTATGTGAAAAATATATGAATATTGCAAACTATTTGCAGGAGGTACCTATCTGAAAGTAGCAACAGGCAAAACTACAACCGCAGTTACCTAAAACGCTGCCCATGTTGGTCACAAAATTTGTCTACGTGAGCACAGTCCCATATGTTTGGTTTATCTTTACTTCATAATTCTCAGTACTATAAAGTGAAACAAACCAAACTATTAAACCGCCAACCCAAAAAGTTACTACCTATATAACTTTCGAAAGTTTAATGTTATCGTTTTAAAATAAATACTGTCTATACAGTTTGACTGTTTAATATTCTCTTTGCGGTAAAAAGTAAAAATGTAATGATTAATATATCTATGGTCAGTTTTATGAAATCACTCAAAAGTTACAGTTTCACGTTTTGCATTTTAAGCCATATTTACATGGTATTTTTAACGTAAAGCTTTATTTCAAAAAACTAGTTATATTGGTTGTGTAGAATTCTGATAACACCATGCCTTTCACAAAATCTATGAAGGGCGTACCCCAGAAAACTTTGGCTGCGAAAGGACTGGTTTCGCACGATTATGATGCCATAACTGCTTGTCAGCGGGAGTGTACCTCAAGGGTTGGCGAGGCAATCCAATTGGAACAAGAGGCATATTTGAATGCACATCCAGAGGTTACTCAAATGTGTCATACACCAAATACTATCTAACAACTGTTTCGAATAAAATAATAATATCTTATTTGGAGAGAGATATTTCAATTTCTGATTCAATTAATTGTTCTTTTCAACATCATCATCATAATCAGCCTATTGTCCCCACTGCAGGGGCACAGGTCTTCCCTATGGATGGAATACGGAGATTGGGCCATGACCCACCACGCGGGCCCAGTGCGAATTAGTGGGTGCTAACGACTGCAGATGTAGCCGGGACCAACGTCTTAACGTGCCTTCCGAAGCACGGAGGGGCTCGAGACAGTAAATGTTTGGTCACCCATCCAATGACCGACCGCTGCGAAAGTTGCTTAACTTCAACGATCGCAGCCGAACGCGCTAACCACTTGCCATCGAGCTCCTAAATGTTCTTTTAATTTTCACGATAATTTCACGGGGTAGGGGTAGGCATCGGCGAAAGTGATATTTTTTGCATCACAAGCGTCTATAGCCGCGTGGCCGCTTACCATCAGGCGGGCCATAAGCTTGTTTGCCACCCTTTTAACATAAAAAAAAATACAAGAAACCCAATGCGTTACTAAAATTACAAATATGACAATGAATATATTCAATTTTATAGGTTAGAGCAATGCTAGAGAATTTACTGAGCGTAATGTCGAGTGCCGGGAAAAAAAAGGACATTTTAAAGGATGTAGCGATATTTTTTACTCGACCACCCGAAGTATTGGATCAGGAAATCAGAGAAAGACTTGGCATTCCACCAGGTGTGCCCTATACACAGGTAATATTGTATTTGATAGAGAAAACTAAACAGCGAATTACTGCTTACCTGAAGTAATCGGTGAACTATGACAATGTAGTGGAATAAAATAAAGTAAAAGCTAATTTTAATGGACTTTATTATATTCAAGCGTTAAAAATATACAAAATATAGTCGAAAGAGAAATTTACTTACTCTCGATACTTTTGTATTACCTACTAACGACTGCAAATGCAGCTGGGACAATGGCTTAATGTGCCTTTTATAGTACTGAGGAGCTCGATACTATAAAGTTTTGGTTACCTATCCTATAACTGGCTATTGCGAATGATGCTTAGCTTAACTTCTACGATATCTGACCGAACTACTTGCGCCATTGAGCTGTTTATGTGAAAAAATAATATGTCTCATAATCAGGAAAGTAAACCCGCTTTCAAATACAAGAATCTAGATCTGCAGTATGACCTGAAGAATATAGTGATGAAACATTATCCCTCTGCGTCGTGGACAATTCCAACTCCAGTGGTCAGCACACCGAATACCATGTCATCATCGTTCATATCTCACGTCACTTCAGAAACTACCCAACCTACCCCAGGTAAAATAAACAATCGAATTTAGCAAAAGGTAAAATAACTAATATACTAACTTAACTAAATATAGTCAACCGGTAAAAGAAGTTTTGAAAAAAATATTTAAAAGTTAAATGCTCAAAACTTCTTTCAAAAATAAAGAGTTAGACTCACTTTTTGTAATCATAATATATAATTCAAAATTCTGTTTATAAAAATGAATGGTACACAAATTATAAATTATTTTCTTCTACTGTTTAAAAAGTTAACGAAACACTATTTTTTTGCAGAACCTGTCCCAATACCGGAGCCAACTTTATCAGAGACGATGTTTGTTGTCATTTCAAATACTGTTGACAAAGCTATCTTCCTGCATGTTGACGATGCCGCATTGCTTTATGATACTGCTTATGTGGAGCTTATGAAGGCAGTAGAACAAGCTATGGAAATACCTGTAATTGGAATCAGAGAGGATATAGCTGACTTGTTTTATACCGCATACAAGCATTTCGAACTCGATATTATGGAGAAAGAGAGGATCGGTAAGTGCTATTTGTTAAGTAGTAAGTTTTAAGCAAAATAACTATTCATAATAATTGACAAATAATGACCTCCGTGGCCGAGTTGATTTGTACGCCGGGTTTCAATGTGTCGCCTACTAGAGAGATCCCGGGTTGAATCCCGGTAGGGGCAGATGTATGTGTGATGAATACAAGCATTTGTACTCCAGTCATTGATGTTTAATACGTATTTCTATATAAATATACTTAATTATGTATCAGTATATGTATCTTCTATGCGTTACCCTAGTATCCCATAACACAAGCCTACAGTGCTAACTTTAGGCCTAGGCCAATTGGTGTGTTGGAAATATTTATTTATTATAATGGAAATAAAAATCATCATCATCATATCAGCCGAGAGACGCCCACTGCTAGACATAGGCGTTTAGGCAAGGAATTCCAAACCGATCGGTCCTGCGCTGCACGCATCCTGCGGTTTCGCGCGACCTTCACCAGATCATCGGTCTACCTTGTGGGGGGCCTACCAACGCTGCGTTTCACGGTACGCGGCCGCCACTGGGACCTTTCTACTCCAACAGTCGTTCGTCGTCATTGCAATGTCCCTGCCCTGCACACTGCCACATAAGACTCACACACATCCTCTAGCGCAGCAGTGAACAGTTTCGGCGATATAACGTCACCCTGACTCACACCATGCTGAAGTCTTATCGGTTTTGAGTTTTGGTCCTGAAGACGGACTGATTTAATGGCGTTTTAGTACAACAATTGCAATTCTTGGATGTACCGATAGTCTTTTCGGTACCTCTGGAGAGACTAAAGCACGGCCCAAGTCTCGACAGAATCGAAGGTTTTTTCATAGTCCACAAACGCTAAGCATAGTGGCAGGTCGTACTCTACGGTCTTCTGTATAAACTGCCGCAGCATATGTATGTTATATGGTAACATAACCTTTTCCGGAATCCAGCTTGTTCGGGAGGGAGGCTAAAAGTCTTCAAACCTGCGAGCGAGGCGATATCGTTAAACTCTCACAAACATCTTGTAGACGTGACTCAGGAGCGAGAAGAGTCTCACCACGCCCCTGTGCCTTACCTTCGGCGTTTTCCCCTCGATTATGACGGATTTGAATAACCTCTGAAGAGTTTTTAGGACCACTCGTCCACCTATTTTCAGAAGCTCTACTGTAACTCCGTCATCACCCGGTGCCTGTTGTTCTTAAGCTATTTGAGATCTACACTAATCTGTAGGCACTAGGCTGACGTGCGGAATATCTTCAGTATAGTGTCGGGTTAATTTGGCTCTAGGGTCGATGGCCTGAGTGACAGGTGTGCGTAATGTCGCGTAAATATGTCCATAGAAGCTTTCAAACTCTGCAAAAAGCACAGGTCTCGATGCAACGATTCTACCGTCCTCTGTTTTCAACTATGGCAGCAAGCTCTATCCAAGTGACAAGTCTCTGGCGAACACTTTGGAACCTTTGCTCGGCTCGATGACCAAATAAATATACTTAAATTAATTTGAGAAAATATGTATTTTATACACTCAAAGCTCATAATATAGGACCTTTTCCCTCAGCTGCTGAGATAGCATGGGAGAAACGGATGAGGAAAAAATTAAAACGGACTTTGAGAAGACTGCACAATTTTAAAGGTAAGAATCAATAGGTAGTAATTTCCAAATTTTATGTAAATTGCCCAACCATTTATTTATTTTACTTTTCGTGTTGTTTTCCAATGCGCAGGTTATGAAACTCCACCAACACCGAAGAGTGAAATATCCTCACACGAAAGCTACACGGTTCCACCTCAACGTCCATGTATTTGCCAGCCACAATTTCATTACAATAGATATCCCAAGGTATGATACGATCCCACCCAAAGATGAGAACTTTTAAAACTGTATTCACCTCATCCTATCACCTCCTCCTCACCCCCATCTACAAAAAGTTTCGTACTTACTGTACATTTAAAGTATTTTTACCAATAATGCATTATCGGCGTTTATTATCAGCTAAATACATTATTAAAATGGTCACAATCGCAAGGAAGCAACATTACTTTCCTCGGCTATAGGGTATTTTTTGTGTTCTATGGGTAAGAGAGATGTGTACTACTTTCACAAATTATGATTATGAGACAAAGTCACAATTACCAACTCGCACTTTTTTATGGAAAATACACGGAGACAGCTATGCGACACAATTGTGCCGACTCCACGGTAATGTGGTTCTATATTTTCTTTATGGACTCTACTGTTACATACTAGCAGACTCATCAATAGTTAATTGTACACTAATTCATCATCATCATCATCAGCCTATTAATGTCCACACTGCTGGGGCACAGGCCTTCCCTATGGATGGAATAGAGAGATTGGGCCATGACCCACCACGCGGGCCCAGTGCGGATTGGTGGGTGCTAACGACTGCAGATGCAGCCCGGACCAACGGCTTAACGTGCCTTCTGAAGCACGGAGGAGCTCGAGATAGTAATTTTTGGTCACCCATCCAATGACCGACCACTGCGAAAGTTGCTTAAATTCAACGATCGCAGCCGAACGCGCTAACCACTTGCGCCATCGAGTTTCGTGAATTAATTACTTAATATAAAATTAAGTCTCCATACATAAATCAAACTCCAAATTAACTGACAAGATTATTAAAAAGTAATACTTTTGTAGGACCGATTTGGAATCTACTTACCACGGGAAAAAAAATTCAAAGATAAAAATGTTACGTTGACGCCAGCCATATCAGTTGAGAGTCTTTCTGATCCCAATGAGACATTCGATACCAAATCAATAATCAGCAAAAAATCTGCTGCGTCTATGAAGAGCACAGCTAGCCACAAAACGACTAGTTTTAAAACTTAATCCAGCTTTGTTCAAGCCATTGTAAGTAATGTTTTGAAATAAAAGTGAGTGTGCCGATTTTTGGTTTTATTTAAAACATATTTTAATCCTTACGTTCCCCGAACAAAATATTACATTGAACTTACTCAATTAAGCAAATCAAAAATTGTGCCGTAAAGTCTGTTTAGTTCAATATTTTTTGTGCCATACACAGTAAACTAACGTTTAACGTTAACGATATAACTATCGTTATTACATTTTCTATAACAATAACATCAAGCAGCGGAGAAAGTATTTTTTTTCTCTCTTTTTTAATTTACCCTTTTTTAGACATCTTCATAGACCACAACACACCTTCTAAGACAAATAGCAGATAAATAACAAACCCTTAAACGTCGTACCTGAAACATTCGACCCATCTCAAAGATAAAATAGTATTATTGATTTTTACATTACTCTTTTGGGGAGTTATTATTATAACACCATTAAAGAACCATCTCTGATTGATTTCAAACCCAATACAGAAAACAGTATCTTATTTCAATGTCTCAGGGATGAGCCCCACTTAGTAGAATTCAGATACAAAAATAGCTGATGTAGAAAAAGAGTGCACCCAATCGTCCCCCATGTGCCTAGACCTATTCTGCGAGAAACTCACTTATCCGCAGTGTGATTTTAGAACACGAATTTAAAATAAATTTCAAATCACACTGGTGAATTCCGCGGTGAAAAGAGACTTTGTTCTTACAGAATAGCACTGGAACTATACTCATCAATAAGAATCATAATTCCACTAAAAGGTACCGGTGGTCTTCTAAGAGCGCGCGTTGCGTTCTGAGAGGCAAGAAAGCGGGCATGCGCTCGGCGTGTTAGTTCCATATTATTTCATAGAGCAGCGCTGCGTGGAGCGGGTCTCTATCATATGAGATAAAAACTGCACGCCGAGGATGCCCACTCCGTGCCCCGCTTAACGCAGCTAAAACAACATCTAGCTGAAACTGTACAAAAAATCATGGCCAAGGGCACAGGAGTTAAAATTCACTGTACCACTCGTTTACACCAAGGTATAATACATGTATGAATGTAACAATTTTTTTATATATATGTGTATATTGTTCACTTATATACATTTATAAAACATGTAGTATACAATACTTGCATCAAAGTTGTTGGATAAAAAAAATAAGTGTAGTAACAGCAAAGTAAATAAGTGATTTAAACTAGTCAAGATATTAGATATCTATGCAGTGTAAACGAAAAAATGCTTTAAACAACCACAATAAGCATTTTACAAGTTTTTTTATAAAACTAGTTTATTACTTGTTTCTTGGTGTAAACGAGGGTTTAGAAAGCAGTCAAGAGTACACTGGAAAGTAAGCGAAGTATGCGCAACATTACCATTTAATGGTTTCATAGAAAAGCTAACGAAATAAACATTATTGTCTGTGGTTCCTACGGATAAATGATATTTCCGGTTTTCCATCAATGAGATGTCCAATTTAACTACGAAAATAAGCGAGGAAGTCCAATAAATTTAACTTTTACCATAAGAAACTAACAACCTTATATTCTTGAGCAACAGGTAACCAGACCATTCTGGCTTATTTGCTACACTTTCCACTTTGAAATTACCGCTTATCGTGAAATATGCGTGGGTTTTATTGCCAAAGTTTTACATTATGACGTAAAACTTCATTGCATCAGCGCTGGCCGCGGACTGTTTAGTACTTACTGTACAGAGTGAAATTATTTCACGCTCCGATTTGCAAAGTAACATTCGTTCGTTGGTATGCAGTTGTTATACTCGTACTATATAACTATGTACTTGTCCCTTTCAGGTTTTCAGTAAAGTATTCGAGCGGTCTACGGAAAGGAACGAACGTGAATTTAATATGTGTCGGTAATGCTTGTGCATAATATTAAATACTGACGAGCTTTGTGTATAAAATATATTTAGTCTGGAATAGTTCTGGCTTTAGCTAAAATTCACAAATACGTAAATGTTGATTTGGTCAAGTTGAGTTAGTCATTTTTACCCTTTGGGACGGAACCTTAATAATGGTGATATTAAAATATGCTTTTAAATGAAATGTTTAAAAATTTGTTTTTGGTTTCGTGGGTAGATCCATCCTAGATAATCTTATCTATCAGTAAAACAACACAATAATAGTGGTTTAAAAACAAATGAAGTTTAGCCCATAAAATAATATATCCTTTGATGAGCCATTTATATACTGCTAAAAATAAAAATTACTCGATTTATTATAAGCTTAATAGAATCCAATAAAAATTTAAGTTTTGTCATTCCTAGTAAAATTAGGTATATTTACAATAGGCTAGTCATCCACACTGACTTTATACAATTTATAACAACGACTAAAAATATTTTAATTTTGTACCGACTAATGTGGTATTGTAATAATATCCAGAGTAGACGCAAAAACAAAGTATAAAAATACATTTATCTAGTTTACAAGTACTTATTTATTTAAGGTTTCATAATAATAAACAAATTAAAGAAACATGATTAGATGTGACCTCAGTTTTTTTCTGATCTGTGTTTTCTCGTATCTACCACGGGCCTAGAAGTAGGTTCTTCAGCCAATATGGTTTTGAAACTAAATGGTTGAAATAGCCACCCAGCACCTTCGAAAAATTTTGTCATAAATTCCACCCTGAAACATGATAACAATAACTATTACTTACTTTATTACTTCGTAACTTTCCGGGGCAGATTAATAGGCTATTTGGCAAGTTATTTAAACGTTCATACGTTATTTATTAGTGTATAGTGACTTCAAAAGTGGAAATTAATGATTCTGTTGCGTATATCAGTAAAAAAAAAGAAATTAAAAAATATTTTCAAATATGCTGCGGAAACGTTTCTCTAGCGAATATGGCGATTACGACAGGGACGTCACACGGCTCTCATTAAAACGTGTCACTTTGTCAGGATGTTTACAAGCAGGTGACGTCATTTTAATCAACTACTTTTTTGTCAGAATGGTGAAATCGCTCTAAATATTCATATTAAATTCAGACATGCCATAATTGAAACTTTGTTTTTGATACTATCAAAAAGCCGATTGTCTTCAGTGCTTATGAAAAAAAAATATTAAAAAACATGAGTTAGGCTCTGTAGTTGCGATTGTTCAGTTGTTTGACAGAATGAATACAACTTTTTAATAGCAATAATTATGAGAGCTTTACCGCGGGGCATTGACTGTAGCTTTCACTCTCTAGATCTAAATAAGCTCTAAGGGCCTGCGCTGAGTTGAGAGGGAGTACGGAGCGGTGGTGACCTATGAAATGTCAAGAAACTGCACGCGGAGCGGACATCAGCTCCGTCTCCTCCGCTAAACGCAGTGCAAGCCCTTATATTGTTATCTTTTCCTGGTACTTTCAAAATTACAATATGCTATTAGATAAATTTCATAGTTTAATAAATCACCCCGTGGTGATTTATTAAACTATTAAAGTCCAAATCTATGCACCCTAACAATAATACAGTAACCGAAGTACCTACTACAATCAGTGCTTTGTACCAATTGAACTACTGCAAATTAAAAATGTAGAATATGTATGATAACATTGAAAACAAAACAACATTGAATATTGTGTGTTTAGCTGAAAATGATTCATAGGTCGGTCTAACTTTGTCTTGATAGGTACTGGAGGTCACGACATACCAGCCTGCGTTGTCGTATAACTACTATTTTCTAAGACTATTTGGGATTTCCCTGCTTGTGGTCTCCTGAGGACCTCGCAGCCCAAATCTTAGTAATGGACGTTGTAAGCATTTTTCATTAGCTTGGATTAGTTACGCAGTCTTTCAAATAACGTTTGTCGCATGCGACCAACTGAGGACTAGGTTACAGCTGAAAATCGGTGTCTTGTTTCTCAATGAAACATTCCACACTGAGCTGTGTTAACCCTTTCAGACTGCTGCACCACACTCCGGCTAGGATTTTTGTTTAGCTTTGTAATTGTATTCTGTCTTAAGATTAAATTGTTTTGAAATTTTGTAAGTGTCTTGTATGGTTATAGTAGCTCATGAAAAAAAAAACTATATCTTTCAGTGTTTTGTTCATATCAAACAACATTTTTTTAATACGAAAAGTAAACACTTACTTATCTCTTTTTACCTAAGCACATTCCTATGGAGGAGTATGAGATTTTTCATAATAAGTTTAAGTATTTTATATGTACAAGAGGTACAGAAACGTATTATTTTTAGCTGCTTTTTCATGGTCAAGCTTTGTAGATACACTACTATAATTTCCTACACGAAAATTTTTCCTTGTGGTAAAACTGTATCACTAAATCGATTCACAGAAATACTAATCTGTTTATACAAACATAGCTCTAAGAGTCTAAGAGTCCTATAATAGTGAATGATATAATTTATCTACAGGTTTGTTCCAATAATATTTTTATGATATGAAATATAATTGGAACATGTCATGGCAACAGTAAGGGATCAGTTTCCTACAAAACAGACGCACATTGTTGGTAGTCTTGATCCAACCATTGTGAAATCCTATACAGGGCGCCCCACGGCATTGCCACACGGAGGGAAAGTATATTAAATATTGAAGATAGGATATTTTACTGAAAGAAGAATCATTTTATTTTTAATAATCAGTAGAATTGCATTCACAGAATGTTAAAAAATCACCTGCCACAACCGGGGATCAAACTTGTGAAATGTGAAAAAAAGCACATGACGTATAGTGAGGTTACAAATTTGTAGATACGTTGCGTATCTACAAATCTAATAAATGGCCGTATTTTTTACATTATCTTAGAACTTTGATTATTTTTACAGCTGCAAGGGACCGTAGACCTGAGTACATAGATAAATGATGGTCTCGCTAGCGACACCAATCATTTATTTATCAAAACGATCTTCGTTGTGGTCACGAATTTGTACGCTGCGCGCGTCTATTAATATGAGAGCTCGGCTCGGCGGCAAAGCGGTGGACAGGTGGTGCTTCCAGAGTCTCTCGGTAGAGTTGTATCCAGCTTGAAAGAACTCATTCGCTGTGTACGGGGACATCAGTCGTATACCGCACCAGCATAATTTTTGGGTGTGTGAGCGGGTCATTTTGACACCCAAAAATGATCAGGTTGCAGCAATTAACGAAGGCATTCTCTCGGAAATTGAGGGCAATGAAGTGGTCTACACCTCTATAAACACTGACGTCGAGCAAGATGACGCCACACATTATCCCGTGGAATTTCTGAACTCCCTATCGGCAAGTGGACTTCCAGCGCATACCATCAAGCTGAAGGTCGGTATCCCGATTATGCTTCTTCGGAACCTATCTCCTCCGAAGTTGTGTAACGGAACCCGCCTTAAAGTTATCTCGCTCTACAGACACACCATTGAGACGGAAATTCTTACGGGTTGTGGCGTCGGCGAGGCAGTATTTATACCACGCATTCCCCCCCTCATACCACATAACTTCCCGTTCCAGTTCAAGCGCGTACAGTTCCCCGTGAGTGTTTGTTTCGCGATGACCATCAATAAGTCGCAGGAGCAGACACTGAGGGCAGCGAGTGTTGACCTCAGGACGAGCTGCTTCTCACACGGGCAGCTGTACGTCGATTGCTCCCGCGTCACCAGTCCTCACTCTCTTTACGTTTTGGCTGTGGAGAGCCAAACCACTTATGTTGTTTATCGAGAAGCCTATAAGTATGCATTTTTACCCTATTCTGTATTCCTTATTTTCTCCATCTGCTTTAGCCACAACTTAAGACTTAATTCAGCAGAGTCACCATAAAGTCATTTATTCAAAGCAGGCTGAAAATCAGCACTGTTTGAAGGTCCATTTTACAAAAGTCGGTCTCCCTCTGTTACTGCACTTTCTGTAGATATGAAATGTAAAAAAAACGGGTAAATGAATTTTATTTTAAAAGGTATAATCGTAGGTATTTTTGGTGCTGTATATCGTACACGCAGACGACGTCGCAGCGAAATACCACTTACTGGTTAATCACGAAATCTCAGAAACTATAACATCTACAAAATTAATATTTGGCTGGTAGGTTGCTTATAGGGTGTAGATATCCGATAAGAACGAATTTCACGAAACTCCACCCTTAAGAGGGTTGGAAGTTTGTATGACAGTCCATGTTTTTGAAGTACGAGACTTGAAATTGAACATGTATGCTATGGTGTTTAGGTGTACTAATAATATATCTTTAGAAATAAACCCCCTTTTGGGGTCAAAAAGTATGTGCAAATAACTAACTCCACGCGTACTAAGTTGCGGGCGGCCGTTAGTTTTATAATAAATTCACGGATCTTTCCGAAAAGAACACGATAGTCCTATTGGATATTTTAAATTAAAGAGAAACATATATAATATAAAATTACTGATTTAAAATAATTGGAAATTGTGCCTTATAAAAAAATCACACGCGTACGAAGTCGCGGGTGGCCGCTAGTAAACAAATATGTTTATGCCAGTTACGTTACCCAACGGCTGCACATTCAATAAGTTTTATACTTTAAGTCAGGACAATATTTTCTTTTTATCTAATATAATATAGTTATGAAAAATTTTAACGCTTTACCCTAAGATTACCGATTCGATAAATTTTAGGACTAAGTGCTCGTGACTAAAATGACTCAGAGCGGTCAAACTATGGTAATATCTAACGATTGAAATCTTTGCGGGAGTTTGATTATTGATACAGACAGTGGTGCAGTTTGGCGACGATCTTTAGTTTTTTTTTAGAATAGAAAAGGCACTTTCAGAAGATATCAGCGGGGCCACGTATGTTATTGCAATATCAAGATAAAAAGAAAATATTGTGTACATATCTTTATATATATAATTCTTCTGTGAGTGTGTATGTCACTGAACTTCTCTTAAACGACGGGACCGCTTTTGATGAAATTTTTTGTGTGTATTCAAGGGGATCTGAGAATGGTTTAGATTCACAATTTTGTCCGCTGGACAATGTTTTTTTAATTAATTTTTTTTATGGCGGTACGAAGTTCGCTGGGTCAGCTAGTATATATATATATATACATATATATATAAATATATTTATAAATAATTTTACTGTACTTACAGAGAATGTAAGAAAATTCCATTATGTCCTACCTCTCTTACACGGCTTCGTGTAACGGCAGTGCTCCGGAATATGGTTCAATGATTAGGGTTCGAATCCCAGTAGGCCATTGATAATAGGGGTGACGACGGGGTAAAGTAAATGAATTTCTATTTAGTCCGTCTGTTACATTATCAAAAAATAATGGACACGTATTTTTTCTTTGGGCAATCAACCAAAAATTACAAAGATAAAGCGCGTTAAAATTTGGGAGTAGGGGCTCGTGACGTCACTTTTAAGTAAAAATTGTACCAAAACATGTCGCCATGCGACATTACAAATCAATTTATCTCTGTCTGTCTGTGAGTTTTGGTTATGTGAATGAAGAAGAAATATGTGTCCAATACTTTTGCTAAACTACCTGATAGATGAAGAAAAAAAAAATTTTGAATTTGAGAAAAAAATGTTGCAGTTTGTGCAAAATGTGTTATTATTATCAATAGTAGACTGTTGACTATATAAACATTGATTAAACTTACCAATGCAACCTCAGCGTATGCAGAAATGCAGATAGTCCTTCCATTATCACAAGGATGCAAATAGTGAAGAATGCCCAGATAGCAAATATCACGACTAGTTTGATTGCTCCCACTATGCTGTGGTCTTTAATGGCAATTTTCTCTAAGACCATGTCCCATAACATTTCAGAGAGGGCTGCAATGAATTTTTGTATAATTCAAAGCAATATGTGACTGTAATTATAATTATTAAAATAGCTTTTTTTCTATCGTTATGTAAAGCCATTTATACTTTGTAGAATTGAGAATAAATAAGTTCAATATCAACTGATTGTTAGGTGACAATTCTGTGTTTACGTTTCATTTTCATTCCGAACTAATTAAGATTTTGCTTTTTATGAGAAAAAAGTAACTCCCACTCTCCATTGAGTATTAACAAGTATTTATATCAAATTTTGATTTACCAGCATGCGCCAAGGATAATGCCCAAAGCCGAAGGTACGAAGCCGTGTGCGATACAGTACTCAAGACATACTCTATCGTATGGATAGCTTGGTGGATCATTAGTTCACCAAACGAGACTGTGTGCTTGTTCACTTCCGCTTGCAACGTCTGCTCCTCTTTGTCTACGTCGCCCCGCTGATATCTTCTGAAAGTGCCTATTCTATTCTGAAAAATAACCAAAGATCATCGCCAAACTGCACCACTAACGGTCTGTATCAATAATCATACTCCAGCAAAGATTTCAATCGTTAGATATGCCCTTACCATAGTTTGACCGCTCTAAGTCATTTTAGTCACGAGCACTTAGTCCTAAAATTTATCGAATCGATAATCTTAGAGCAAAGCATTAAAATCTTACAAAACTATATTATATTATTTATTATTATATTTAGTTAATATAATATCCATAATTGTATTTACGGCTTCCGGTAAAATTTACATGTTTGAAAAAATTCATTATATTATCTCTCTCTATCTTCTCTTTATATCTAACTAGCCGATCCGACGAACTTCGTACCGCCGAAAAGTCGATGAATGTGGTTATATTAATTTCATCATCAACCCATGCTCGTCCACTGCTGGACATAGGTCTCCCCTAATGCACGCCACTATTCCCGATTTTCTGCCACTATTTCTTCCCGATTCTCATCCAGTCCACTCTAGCATAGCAATAAAAATAAAAATTTATTTTTATTAAATTAATGATTTTGCAGCCGCAATAAAACAAATACAAAAAAGTTAAATAGTTTATAGGGATGCCTACATAGAGAAAATGAAATTTAATTAACTTTTACTTTAAGTGTATCAGCGAAATTTAAAACGGGATTTATTGTTTGCCAGGGTTTCCATGTATTATCCCAATAACTAGTCTCCAAACACAGACATCCCTTAATCTCTCAGTACCCTACGAATTCTTAGGTAATAAAGGAATATTTTTGGAAAATTAAACCAAATGGAGTAAAATTTATGTTATAATGAAATGAAAACTGCGATATTGATACTTCAGTATAGTGTTGAAGTTATATCCATCGTTTCCTTACCAAAATATCGGCTAGTATTGCAACTTGTCTTATGAATACAGTATTTTCTTTAAATTATAATAACATTTTAAAGCGATCATCTTCTATAAATTTTGTAGTAACAGATTTGCAGAAGGTACAAATAAGCTTTGTGCTTTTATGACGTGAGCTGTCAATTGTGGAAGAAGGCGGAATACCATACCTAATTTAGGTTTAGGTAAACCTAAGTTAGGTTAAGTAAGATTTTTCATATATATAAATAGTTATTCTGCTATTCGTGGCGGGGAGGATTCCAAAAAAATCAATTCTAATAAAAATCGATTCAGCCATTCTTGAGTTCTAGGTGTTCTAACTAACACGACTTTGTTTTATATGTAGATTATCCGAGTAATTAAACTATTGAACTTTTTTGTTTGTTTTATTTCGCTTGTAAAGTCCTAAATTTAATTAAGCTAGATATTAAAGATAGCCAAATTTATCGACTGTTATAAAGGCGGTACGTAGTTCGACGGGTCAGTTAGTTATAATATAATTGCAATGTACATATATGCACCATATAACTAAGCAATTGTATTTTTCTAAATTCGAAATGTATACTAAATAAATCAAAACAATCGCCGCACATAGGATCGCTGAGCTTATGAAGACATATTTTTCATTTCATTCAATCCTTTTGATCAGCTACTGATTGCAATGTTGGTTAAAATACCAAAAAAAATATATCTACTCGTTGATGAGACTCGCATTTAATAGCATTACTTTATTTTTGCGATAAAAAATTGCCTTTTACTTCACTATTGTAAACCGCTATCATCATAACGTCATTGCAAAATATGGCCACAGTTTATCGGTGTCAGGGCATATCTATCGATTTAAGTCTGAACTCCAGTATATTTTTATTATTAAAACTATAATAACAGCCGTTGCTACGAAACGGAACCAGATTTTCCTGACATTTTACTGGAGGTTGATGATTGAAACTGCCTGTTAAGCAATCTCAGGCTAAATAAAAAGAGTTCAGCTATAACTGCTTCAGAATAATTATTAACTGTGTTAGAACCTTGGACGATAAACTACGTTAGTTCCATGGCATAATCATCCTCACAAATTATGTACAGCAGGCGCAATATCCTTTAATATTTAAAAACCAGGAATCACAAGAAATAATGTTATTGTGAATATATCTACGTTAACAGCTACATAAATACATATAGGTTTACATATAATAATCGTAGATCATACCGTTAGCGCCTTCCTTCTCTTACTGTGATAATTCATCAAATATAGTGGCGTCCCAAATAATAAAACGGGCATGCATATAAGGGCAATGAACACTAACGCCATCTGCACCATTCTCTGTCCCTCAAACAAGTAAGCATCACAACCTTCACCCACGGGTTTTGTTTCAACCATGAGAAACATATCGATAAAAATTATAAGAATCTGGGGTGCGCAGCCACCATGAAAACGTTCTATAACAGGAACAAGAAGCTTAATAATGCATTAGGGTTAATGTTATGTTGTATATCGAAGTATAAATAAGCAATCTTTATTATTATTATTAGAATAAAATCACTCTGTCTATGTAACTATGCTTCCGTCTATATTATAACTATGCTACCGAGACCATGGCCATGTAGAATTTCTTCAAGTATTTCTTAAACTGCAAGGCAGCGGCCTTCTCCCAGCAAACCAAAACCACTGGTCCAAATCCAGCCCGACAATAAGACCGAGCGATTTTTTTCTAGTTAAATCACAATTCTTTAGATTTATAAATCAAACAATTAAATGTTAAAAGTAATATCGTCTTGAGTCACTTAGATGCATAAGATCCATCATAGGGTCATTTATAGAGCGTAGATCGTACAGGCTTTGGGGGAACTAAGAGTAGTGTAAACAGACAATTTTGTAACAGTCGACTAACGGCTTTCCGTCTGATTTATCTGAGCTGTGGATCTGAGCCTGACCAGGCAGGCGTATTGTTTCAAAGGAGTACCGTCCGTGAATAAGCTTTAACTCCAAATAACTACCCACTGTTACTACATAGAAACGGAGATGTTTGTACTATTCAAGTTATAGGAGAATTATAGTCAAAATTAATCATTGGTGTATTACATCTTTTTGATTAAGACTAATATTGTTACTAGTAAACGCCCGCAACTTCTTCGGCGTTAACTTTAGTTTTTTTTTAGGAATCCCTCAGGAACCCGACTTTATTTCGGGATAAAGAGTGCTATGCCTCAATCCAGGTGACACAAACACACTATGTGTGCCGAATATCATCCAAATCTCCCATCAGTATCTCCAAACTCACTTTGGTATTTATAATACATGTTAAAAAATTACGATTAGGATTTAAAAAAAGATGAATGATTGATCTCTATACGCTCGACTAGATACCGCGACGCCTGACATACTTGTCAAATGCGGCAACAAATACTACACCAAAATCGGCGCACCCGAGCCTTCATCGAGCCAGTAACACTGGCCATAAGCGAAAGAAAAATACCAGTTTATACAGTGAAATAATATAATAATCAATAAGGACACTGGGATCACACACCATCAATAACTATCGTAAAATGACCCCGCAGAATCCTTATGGAAGCTGGCTCTCAGCCAATTTTTCTGTAACTTTGGGAGATGATAGATCATGACATGTGGAATAAAAGACCCCATGGCCAAAAGTTACTTAGGTTCAAAGTCGAAAATGTACGGCTGTTTAATGTTTCTATTGAACGTGAATTCAGAAATGGTTTTGGTGATGTACACATATGTTTTTCGGGTCACTGAATCCGAATCCAGAGTCTATTCGATCCAGTCGGGTCATCTATGAACTTATGGCCATTAAGCCCATGGGGTCTCTTATTCCACGTGTTCATGAGCTATCATCTCCCAAAGTTACAGAAAAATTGGCCGAAAGTCAGCTTCCATAAGGATTCTGCGGGGTCCTTTCGAAATTTCGGCATAAAACAACATAAACCCTAAACGTCATTGCCGCGTATACAAGAATCAAGTCCTTATAACTAGGGGCGTCTTTACCATATGCGGCGCTCTGGTGCTAAAGACAACAATACGCCCCTTTTTTTAAAATTATGACAAAAACTAATTTTCCATTGTACAGACTAGAGATATAGAAGAAATTAATCACATAAATAACCAAGAATACGTATGTATGTGTATGTATCTATAGTTTGACCGAGTTGACTAGAAAAACGTAAACAATCATTTAAACTGACTGTATGTACTTAAATCGTAACTTTTAATTTTGTATTGAAACATTTATTTAAAGTAATATTTATAAAATTGCAGTTGGGTAAGGTAAGTAGATAGGTAGGTACTAACAACCACCAGATTCATGCAGATGTTGATCGCGCGGCCCGGCTGGCGCCCCCTAGGGCCGGCGCCCGGGTGCACCCAGCGCTCCTATGGGAAAGACGCCTCTGCATATAGCTGAGATTTTTATAATGTGAATTTACCGTCAGTGTATTTTATTATTGGACCCATGTCATTTAAACTTACTATTAAAATTTACCTACTTTTATATTATTTAATCTTTGATTATTATTATTAATATTTTTTCAAAACTGTTACTCGTAAACTGACTCTTAATACACAGTTTTTAGTTTCATATTTCAGCACATTACCATACTTTTGCTGTAAAAATATTACCATACGAGCGCTGTAATATATATATTTTAATATCAGCTAAAGTTTATAACTATTTTATTATTTTATGTCAAAGGATAGTGAATATTTTTACAAATATTATTACTTTATAGTTTATTTATTTATATTGCTGCTACTCCAGCTGCACAGTCGCTTTTTTAACAGACTTCAAAAAAAGGATGTTATCAGTTTGACCTGTATGTATGTATGTTTGTCCGCAAATAATCTCAAAACTTACTGATTCTATTTGGACGTGGTTTTCAGTATACAAATACGTATATATCAGCAAAGGTTGTAGTATATGATATACTAGCAGTGTTCCACGGTTTTACACGGAAAACTTTCAAATAGTGGAAAAACAGCAAAAACGCCAAGACATATTAGAACGTATTTTTAAGCCTACTTCAATGAACTGGCAAATAAATACAAGCCCAGCTCGCCTTAGTATATACTCCATGTTTAAAAGCACAGTAAAGATCAAAAATTAAGTTGATTTATAAACATATTATAGTAACTTGACGGCATTTTTAAATAGACGTTCTGACGGATTTATATGTCGAAAATCAAAAGTGTTGTCACCAACTGATGTTGAAAAGATTTTGTAAGAAGCTCCGCATAGTCAGTACTTGGCACCAAAGATCAGTTAAACTTTATAAAAGTTATGATTTTTTTTAAGCATTTAACTGCTACATGGTTAAATCTAAAGAAAAGTACACAATAAAACAAAAGTAAGACAATAGGGCCGTGGTAGCATAATGGTCAGTGCATTCGCCCGGATAGCGAAGGATGCGGGTTCGAGTCCCGTCCGCTGCCTGGTCCGCGTGGATATTTTTCTAGTAAACTTTTCTTTAGATTTATAAAAGTTACTAACAATACAAGTTTGTTTTTTCCTCGCAATTAGGTTGAAAAACTTCGTATGCAATTCGTGTGCATTTATCATTAAACACTCAGTTTAGCTATAATACCTTGTGTACCAACTTAGCACACTTGTATCATAATAAAGTAGTAAATGTTACACATAAATAAAAAGAATATTCAAATAGAGGCTTAACTATACACACCTACCATTTTTCGGAAGAAGAAACCTACGCCTAATCGTATAAGTACACAAAAATATTGATATACAGGGCCACCCACGGCCATACCACACGGAGGGAAAGTATATTTAATATTAAAGATAGGATGTTTTACTGCAAGAAGACATCATTTTATTTTTAATATATGAGTAGAACTGCATTTACAGACTTTTTTAAAATCGCATGCCAAAATCGGGAATCAAACTTATGAAATATAAAAAAAAATAAAAATACAAGACGTATTTTATGATAAACGTCCAAAGGTTTAAATATAAGAATATTTTTTCCTAAGTAACATAGCATTTAAAATGAAAGGCTCAGGAAAAGTTCCTTCGACTTTTCCAGGCTTCCCACAACCTCTGACTTTGCCAGGCTTCCCAGAACTAACATTATTATTTCAAAGTTTTTACCAAGTAGTACCTACTTACTTAATAATACAATATTGCCTTATTATAAGTACGTGAAATTAAAAATTTCTTTGTGAGGTCACAATTACAAGACTTTTTTGTGGAGTTATGTAAAAAATATTTAGTTTACAAGAACTGGGACAATAGTGTGTAAGAGTTAGAAAATGAACAAATACGTTTTGTTTAAAACATTCACCACGCAAAGTAAAATTAATCTACAGGCAGATAAATTATTAAAGGAGTGAGAATTTGCATACTATATAATGGATCACATTTTGAACATTTGATAAATTAAATTAAATAAGAATGCACCGTTACGTTTATATTGGAGTTTGTGATCATTCAAAAATATCATGATGAAGCCTCAACCATCACCAATATCGAAAAAAGTACAATGTCTTAAAATGTTCTTTGGTACAATACCGAGGTGCCTTTTTTCATATCTTTGAAATTCGGCCCCGTTCTCGAGATATCGGAAATTTACTGTGAAAACACGATTTTCGGTCGAAAAATATCGGTTTTTTTCGATTACCAAAAAAGTTTTTGATATTCCATAAACATTTTTTACATCTTCTTAAAGACCTTCAAGCGTCTTCTAAGCTCTCATACGTCCTCGTGGCTCTAAACCTCGGGGTGTCATGTGCGAGTCGCACTTTTAGCGAAATAGGGGCCTACTGTAGCGAACGAAAAAACATTTTCAATGTTAATAGTCCTTATGATTAACCCTTTCGACGGTTTTCATAAAATACATGTATTTTTGTGTTTCACATTTCACGAGTTTGGTTCCTGGTTGTGGCAGGCGATTTAAAAAGCCTGTGAATCCAGCCAGTTCTACCTACATTTAAAAATAAAATTGTCTTCTTTCAGTAACATATCAAATGTAAAAATTTCATATACTTGCCCTCCGTGACCGTGGGACGCCCTGTATTCGCCCTTTAAGTAATAAAACACATCATACAATATTTTCCCTGTTACTTGGATAGCAGTTGAGCAGCTGGCTACAGGATTTTTGACGTACAATAGCATTCTTGCAAGGACATACACACACTACATTAATGAGTTGCCGCATTTACAGATCTGTTGGTTTTTGACAGCGCGGTATCTAATCGTGCTAAGCGAGACAATCATTAATTAATCTATGGGTTTAAATAAGTATTCGTACCAAGTTTTAAAGTCTATTAACTCACAGAATAAGATTTTTCATAGTTTCATCCTATTTTTTAACCTCTTAGGGGTACGTTTCCGAAAAACCCTGATACACGTTATTCTTTCATCCTGGTATTTAGTAAAAATACCAAGTTCCGAGTGCGCGCATTAACATTCATCCATAAAAAAACTTCCGACACCCTCCCTGTACCCCTATAGAGGGAAGTTTAGGAAAACTTAGAAATTACAAACGTTATAATTTATTTAGATAAGTATTCGTGCCAATATTTCAAGTCTATTAATTAACCATTTTTCATTCCCTATTTTAAGCTTTCGGGAGTAAACTTTGAAAAATCCTTTATTAGGGGTGTATTACGTGCCATATTTGGAGTTTCTAGACCCAGTGGTTTGGGCTGTGCGTTGATGTCAGTCAGTCAGTCAAACAGTCACTCAGTCAGTTTCTTTATTTATATAGAAACATATTTGGCTACAATTTACGCATCGATGTGGGTTTTGGGAATTAGGACGTATGTTTTAATTAAAATGAAAGTAAATATACGAAAACATAAAATTGATGGATAACATCGAAAAAACGTAAAATTGAAATTACAGACGGACGGCGAAAAGGGAACGGGCCGACGACGGGCAACCACAGTGAGCGTCGTGTTTCTTTTTCAGTTACAACTGCACCCCGTGAGTGTATATTGGTTTCGTTGCCAAATCCCTCTTCATATTAGGCGTCAGTAGGATCCAGCGTAAAAAAATAACTTGGTAGCGTGCATGAATATGAGGCAACTCAACGGACGACCACAGTATCGCGCTTTCTGTACCCTTAGGACTAGTTCAATTCAATTTCGATACATACGTGCGAATGTTAAGTGTCAAGTTTTGTATGGAAGATTTTTAATTCTCGTTACGTCTGTTGTGGCACCGTTCAAATTTCCATACAAAACTCTTTGAAAGATGCGTATCGAGGTCGAATCCAAATATTCGGATTTGATATATTGGTTCGTGCTAAGGAAACTGTTATCGACCTCAATATTACAAGTGAAGTGATTTAGGAATAACTATTGCAATAATTTGAGGTGAATAATTTATTCATCAATTTAATTTAATACATATTTGTGTTAAAAAGGGTTTGTAAATAAGATAATATAAAATTAGAGTGATCTAAAAGATCAAATAAGTTTCACAAGATAAATAAAAGAGAACAAAATGCAAGCGACACTGAAATTTATTATTATTGGACACGCTAGGGGTACTACCCCTAGCACGAACCAATATCGAATTCGTATCGTTTGCGAGTCCGAAATGTCATTGTCAAATGTGTACTGATTTTTAGTTCTCGTTACGTACTTTGTGCCGCTGCTGTTCAAGTTTCCATACAAAATTTTACATTGACATTACGGTTTGCTAACTATTCGAATTCGATAATAGTTCGTGTTAGGGGTACAGTTTTCGTAATTTTTTAACTTTTCCTGACCTTTTTTCTTAAGTTATCTAATGGGATAGGTTTTGAATTATACTACTTAGATGAAGTTCTATTTTATTGCGAAATTGTTTAACATGAATTTATAACATTATAATCTTAAATGACAAAAAAATGGACATGTGCTGTTGCGATATGACACATGCACATGCGATAGAAGTGAAACCTACAAAAATGTTAACACGTAAAAGTCCTTAACGTGTTAAGAAATAAACATATGAGACGATAACCATTTAATAAATATTGTATAACATCATATACTCGTAGATATCATTATTATTCAAAAATAGTTAATTAAAGCTTTTGTTTTAAGGGAATCTGAAAAAACTACGATAAAGTACTCGACCTAGACCCGAGAAACTAAAAGAAAGTTAAATGGGTTGACCCGACCGGGGATCGAATCTGGTACCCCGCGAGATTGCGGGGTTGATTGATTACAAAAACACTTGCTTTTGCGATATATATAAAATGATGAATAACCTCTACAAACGTATAATACGTACACGTATACAAAACACCAAGGTTGTTCTGATGCCTTTTCTCAATTTTTGTACGCTCCTAAACGTCCCATGACACTTGAGTGTCATGTGGCCTGGGTAAATTTATATATTCTATACATAATTAAAACAATTAAAAAATAACCGAGCTCAGGGTCGAAACACCAATCAGTTGGTATCGACCACCAAGACCGATACCGTTTGGCTATCCGTCTCTTATGGTTAATGATAAAATTACGCATAGCTATCTTGTGTCAAATACTCTACTTCCGTTTCATCGAATTTTATACCTAGTACATATATTCAGTAATGACAACATAAATGTGCTTATAATAACGAGTATGTAGTGTTTTTATTTTATTATGCTAAGCAAGTCAAAGATTTTTTATTTACGCTAGGGATTAAAATAAAGCTTAACATTAATTTGTAAAAATCAACCGTTTATTATTTTTGCTTGTAAGCAATGTCAAATCTCATGAAGTTCTTTGTTTTAATAAAAAATATGGCAAATATAATCTGCGAACATATCTAAAGGCTTTTTTAGATCTTCTTAAGTCCCTAAAACGTAAAAAAAAATCTAGTAACTAACAAAAATCGCAATTATTTTAATTGAAAGTAAAAACATACTTACACCTAAATTATTTTTTTCTCAATTTGTTAGCTACATATTCAATATTTACAACTGTTGTATGGAACATATGAACATATATATGATGACGTTATCAACTCGAATATTAAGTACTAACCTGAACTTTCCATGTAAAAGAACCACTTCAAATAAATCAAAATTACCAACCAAGCAAATAAACAAGTCATTAATAACAATTCCGGTATAAATTGGAGATATATCAAATAAAATTTCTTGAAGTATCTGCAAAATAAAAAGTAAATGGTTAATGGCTGTAGACTTCAGCTGCGATGAATTTAATGGAATATTCCAAATGTTTTCGACTGTAACAGCAAGGAACAATCAGCAGCGTGCTTATTATGCAAAAAGAATGCTTATGAAAACGAATATTAATTAAAAACAGATAAAATAATACTTATAAGAATCATTTCTAATTGGTTGATAATAATAATATATCATAACATGGTTTGACAATAAATAATTTAATATCCCACAATGAAGACCCAAAGCAACATTTTTTAAGTCAGTAAGTAGGGTATTTATTTTAAGCATTTAACTGCTAGATGCTTTGCAGCCTAATAAATACTAAAAGAAATTTGACACGGCCATTATAGACCGCGAAAGGTGCGAGTTTGAGTCCCATAGCCGCCTGGTAGGTACCTAGAATAACATATGTAACTTACATGTGGTTGAAAAGACTCAGTATAACGCCAAACTCCATGTGTATTATGCCCAGAATGATAGATAATTTCATTTTTATTGAATTTTCCACCATTACTTTATTAGTAGACAGCTGAAGCAAAATATGAAAACAGTTTATGTGGGACTTAGGTGTAGCCGTGATCAAGGGCTTTAAAGTGCTTTTCGTAACACGGGGGACCATATCTTTTGTCGCCCATCCGTTGACAGGCCTTTGTAAGAATTTTACTTCCACGATCGCAGACCATATTATGCACTCCACGTCCTTTGTGCGATCCAATCAGAAATAATAAGATCCGCAGGGGAACTAAGGTGACCGACATTGCCAAAAGAATAGCAAGCCTTAGCTAAGTGGCAGTGGGCAGGACACATTGCAAGGAGGACTGACGGCCGTTGGGGGAGACCGTTGGGGCGGAAAGGTCCTCGAGTGGCGGCCGCGTACCGGCCTCCCACAAGGTGGGCCAACGATCTTGTAAAGGTCACAGAAAGCCGCTAAATTCGGGCAGTGCAGAACCGATGGGTTTGGAATTCCTTAGGGGTGGCCTATATCCAGTGTAGGGTGTCTCTTGGTTGATATGATGTTGATGATAATGATAATCGCAGACCGCATGAGCTTACCAATGCGCCAACAAACTCTCATTTACAAGCGAACGTATTAATTAGGTACATTACCACCCAAATGGGATCCAAGCCCCATGCATATGGTTGATTTTTAGCAGGATTTATTTCTATAGTTTCTTTGGACATTAAATCAGTGTCCGACATTTTGTTTGTCATTACTAACGTCAGCCAAGAACTAGATAAGTTCATGGACCTGCTAAATACGTCGTTATAAAGGAAACCAGTGTATAGAGAAAACAATCCTAAAAGTAGAATGACATAACGACCTGTAGACAACGAAAATTAATTTTAAATACAATATTACTTAACAAACTGTACATCAGGAGTAAGTCCAGAATTCAAGTAAGTACGCAATGCACTATGTAATCATTAATGCAGCTGTTAACTTATTCACGCCTCTTTTATTAAAACTGCGGTTTCTTCACTATAGGATCTTATTCATCATCATCATCTTAGCCAATTAATGTCCCCACTGCTGGGGCACAGGCCTTCCCTATAGATGGAGTAGGGAGATTGTCCATGACCCAAAACGTGGGCCCGGTGCGAATTGGTGGGTGCTCATGACTGTAGATGCAGCCGGGACCAATGGCTTAACGTGCCTTCCGAAGCACGGAGGAGCTCTAAATAATATTTTTTTGGTTAGCCATCTAATGATCGATCATTGCGAAAGTTGATCAACTTCCACGATCGTAGGCCGAAAGTGCAACCACCTGCGTCATCTAGCTTCTCGAGCTTTATTAGATCTTATTATGCTACGCAAATACCGTATTGTATAAAGTGTATATCTCATTGTTGCCTATACACTCACTCTATTATACACTACACACTAATTTAAACACTTACCACCGAACATTATGTTCCATATTTCATTTGTTGACTTTTGGTCCAAAAATTTTTTTTCGCCTCTTATCATCCAATACCCAAATATTACTAATATCATACCATGTCCAACGTCACCAAACATCATGGCAAACAAAAAGGGAAATGTTATAATCGTGTATAGACCTGTTGACAAAGTACAATTATGTAGCATTTTTGAGAAAGTTGCACAAAATCCTACTTTAAAACACAATATTATAAAAGCGAAAGTTTGTGAGTGTGTATGTTTGTTACTTCTTTACGTCTAAACGGCTGGATTTTAATAAAATTTGGTATGGAGTTAGCTGACACCCTGGATTAACACATAGGCTACGTTTTACTGCAGGAAAATATCCCTAATAAACCACGAGTAACACAGCGGGTCACAGCTAGTAAATAAATACATACATAAACATGTAAATCTGTAAATCACACTAATATTATAAAGGCGAAAGTTTGTGAGTGTGTATGTTTGTTACTTCTTCACGTCTAATCGGCTGGAGCGCTTTTAAGAAAATTTGGTAAGGAGTTAGCTGACAGCCTAGATTAACACATAGGCTACGTTTTACTGCGGGACAATATCCGTAATAAACCGCGGGCAGCACAGCGGGGCACAGCTAGTAAACAATAAATGTGAAAGTTTGTATGTTTGTTACTCTATCACACAAAAACAACCGAACGCATTTCGATGAAAATCGGCACAAATATTGTTTATAATCTGTATTAAGGTATGGGATATTTTTAATTCCGAAAAATCTAAAGTTATTGAGGCATTCTCAAAAAAATAAATTTGAGACAGACGAAGTCGCGGGGGGCCGCTAGTATAACTATATATTATTATATGAACATGATTATTATCTTTAACTCAAACTCCACAATAATCCTTTAAGTGTACAAGTCACCTCTATTTCATATTGGCTTTAATTTAAAGTTTTCTTTTGAATCTATATAATCATGTTTGTTCTTGTTTACAATATACACATCAGATTGTAAAATTGTAAAAAACAAGCCTTTGTAATCGAATAGAATTCAAATTTATAACAAAATAAAAGAACTTTTTTTCACAAATTTGACGGGGTTGCTTAAAACTATTATCTAGGAGTTTCTCATCAAGACAAATCGAACGAGCCTAAACTCAATGGAATTGTGTCGTTTTATTGGCCACCTTCCAAATCCATCATCAGACCCTTTTTTTTTTTTTTTACGCAGGTAAAAAATCTTTTTACAGACGACGGCGCCTGTAAGAGGCTCACCGCCGAACGGACCTCACACCTGGCTCCCGCAAGTCTTACGGACCCCCCAGTGGCTGCCCACCTGGGACACCGCAACCCTTACGGGCGCTTTACGGCATAATATCCGCTAAAAAAGTCCTGCGAATACCTTTACTACTGCCTGATGTGGAGCTGCGGGATCCCCTTGGTGGGATTTCTTCTCATTCCCGCACCTAGCTGTGCTTCCCGGCCTCGCCGGGGCTCCACGGCAGGGGTCTCCCGAGGTACTGCGGGGACCCCGCAGACTTGCGCAGGTAGGCCCGCGCATGGGGGCTGGGTACGCGGCCTAGTGCCCACCGTACCGCCCCCCGTCCGCTGCGGAGGGCTATAACCCTCCGCCGCCCCCCCCTTGCAGACAGACCCACATGAGGAGGGCCGCCGTTCCTTGGAGGGGGAAGCGGGAGGGGAAGCGTAGTTCTTCCCGTCCCTCTCCCCCCTCCCGGCCGCCCACATCTCCCCGTCCTTTCTCCTGGGAGAAGAGGGGGGAACGCGGCGACCGCATTCGTGGGGGGTCCGAGCGGCCAGGGCTACTCGGACATCCCCCCCTCCGAGGGCGCTCGTACAGGCGCCAACGCCTCAGAGGGGCCATTCTCGGGGGGTTTCCCCTTCGTGACCGGCGGGTCACAACTCCCCCTCCCCATAACGTGGTCGGCCGGTCGACCACTCTCCTCACACACTGCGCATCGCGACGGGGCGGTGCATGTGGACGCCTTGTGTCCGGTCGTCCCACACCTGAAGCACAGGCCACTGCGGTCTTCCCTGGACGGGCACCTACTGGCGACGTGGCCCCTGCCCATGCACTTATAGCAGTGCGAAGGTGGGGGGCCCAGTGCCGTCACCCGAGCAAGACTCCAGCCCACCTTCAGCCTGTCGCCCTCCGTCACCTTTTTGGCCGCCACTACGGGACACCTCACCTTGGCGAACCCGTTGCCTCCCGATCCGGAGAGAATCTCCCCCACCTCTACCTTGCAGGCCCGGCAGCCTCCCTTTTCCGCCACAGCCTGCACCAGCTCCTCCGCCGTCACTGTTTCATCCAGCCCGGTGATCCGCAGGTCGGCTACCCTCTCCGGTCTGCCGACCTCCACGTAATCCGCCATTACCTCGCCGATGCGCTTCGCGAGGGCATCGGCCTTTGCGGGACTGTCCGGTCCCGGGACCACCAAGAGTTTGGTCCCCATCCGGCTTTCCCGGATCTGAAGACCTCCCTCTATGCCGACTTCCTGGAGTCTCACCTTCGCCCTGGCCATCTCCAGCACCTTCGTGTAGGTGACCCCTTTATCCTTCGCGGTCGGCGTCAGTGTCAAGGACACAGCCGCGGTGTTTGGCACCCTCATTTTTGCTCTCCCACCCTCCGGTCGCTGCGCTTTATTTGGCACTGGCGCGCGCGTCCTCGCCACCTCCGGCACCTGGGTCGTTCCTGGGCCCGCACCCTTCTTCTTCGCCGGTTTTTTGGCCACAGTGCTCCAGGTCTCCACCACCGCTGCGGCCTTCTTCCCTTCCGTCTCCGCGCCACGCCGGTCCGCTGCAAGGGGCGGCCTGATCCGCTCCGGCGGCGGAAGCCTCTTCTCGAGGGAAGCCAGCCGAGTGCTGACCATCTCCCCTATGGATATCATAAGGGAGCGTTGCAGCTCCTCGACGGCCTCCAGTGGCACCAATTGTGTGGTTGGAAGAGGCGCTCTCTCCTCCATCGCTCTCCTCAGCGATCCCAACTCCGCTCGCAATTTGTCCATCTCAGCCTTTGTCTTCTGGCTTTCCTTTTGGAGACGGATGTTCTCCTCCTCTATCTGCTCCATCCTTTCTGTGTCCTTGGACCTCCGCAGGGCCATCTCCAGGAATTTCTTGATCTCCTTTGTTGCCCGATAGGCCATCTCAGCGTGCTTTTTGCTTACCGGGTATTCATCCACCACGGAGTCGAGATATCTCAGACGCTGTTCAACCTGGAACCTGATCTCCGGAACCGTAAGGGTATCATCGCTTTCGTCCTCCGCAGGGGAAACTGGGGAAGCTTTACGCTTACTTTTCCCCTTACGGGTCGTGCTCGACTTGGGGGGCAATGATGTTGAGCCCACCCCATCCTCTCCGTTCCCGCCGCCTCTAAGGCGCAGGATGCCTACTCCCTCGATCGCCTCGGTAACTAATTTACCACTGCGGGACCCGGTAATCCCGCAGCGCCGGTGGCCAGCCGGAGCGCATTGGCCGCTAGTTACTAACTTCTCACCCTGGGGCCCAGCTACCCCAGAGCGCCCGGCGTCAACGGGAGCGCATGACATACTCACAACATAATTCGACATTTCTCATAGTTTTTCCCTCTTCCGGGCGAGGGAACACTACCTGGCCTCTTCAAGGGTGATTTTTGAAAAGGTTTTCTTCCTTGTAGCCCCCGCCCCGAAGGACGGCGGCCCCCGGCCGCACACCACGTGCGGGGTTACGGGTTGGCCGGAGGCGACGCGGAGTTCGCGCCGCAACCGCCCTCACCAACGGCGTTTCCGCCTCAACCTACAGAGTCTCGACCACCGCTACCCGGGCTACCCAGGGCGCCGGCCGAGAGACCCCTCGGGTGATTTTTTAGAGAGGTTGTCTTCCTCGCAGCCCCCGCCTCCAAAAGAAACAGTTCCTTTGCAGACGGCGGCCCTCGGCCCCGCACTATGTGCAGGGTTACGAGCTTGACCCGACTGCCGCTACCCGGGATACCCAGGACGCCAGCCGAGACCACTACCAGGTAATTTTTTAGAGAGGTTGTCTTCCTCGCAGCCCCCGCCTCCAAAGGAAACAGTTCCTTTGCAGGCGACGGCCCTCGGCTCCGCACTATGTGCAGGGTTACGAGCTTGACCCGACTGCCGCTACCCGGGATACCCAGGACGCCAGCCAGGTCTCCACAGCTGGGTATGGTCCACGCCGGCCGAAGCCGGTACCCCCCATCCGCCACCCGGGAGGACGCGCCCGATAGCAGACCCAGCCAAACTGCCACGGGATCCATCATCAGACCCTGGATACCATCTAGAGACAAAGTTCTCGTTAAGATGAATCAAACGAGCCCAAACTCGGTGGGTTTGCGCCGTTTCATTTCAGAGTTCCTAAGGCCGCCCTCCAGTTCTATCATTAGATAAGCAGCATGTCATTACAATATTGAATTCTGTGGTGATATACGCATGCAAAATATTAGCAAAATCGGACACCGAAAAAATGGGTAAAATTTAATCTGTAAGATTTCTTTACAGACTTAAGCGATGGATGAAAGTAATAAAAACTTGTATTAAGATAATAAGTAACTTTTTGTTAGAAAAAAATTCACGCGGACCAGGCAGCGGACGGGACTCGAACCCGCATCCTTCGCAATCCGGACGAATGCAATGACCATTTTGCTACCACGGCCCTATTAGCCGCGTCGAAATTTTCCTAGCGTTAAGCTGCAAGGCAGCGCCATCTCCTCGCATTGTAGGTAACCCACAATATCAAATGAATACTTTTTTAAGTATTAAACATTTGAAAGAAGAAATTGCAATTATAGTTATGATTTTATTTATTTTTAAGCATTTAACTGCTAGATGTTTAAATCTAAAGAAAAGTTTACTAGAAAAAAATCCACGCGGACCAGGCAGCGGACGGGACTCGAACCCGGATCCTTCGCAATCCGGGTGAATGCACTGACCATTATGCTACTACGGCCCTATTAGCCGAGTCGAAATTTTCCTAGCGTTAAGCTACAAGGCACCGCCATCTCTTCGCATTGTAGGTAACCCACAATGTCAAATGAATACTTTTTCAAGTATTAAACATTTGAAAGAAGAAATAGCAATTATAGTTATGATTTTATTTATTTTTAAGCATTTAACTGCTAGATGTTTAAATCTAAAGAAAAGTTTACTAGAAAAAAAT